TTCAAGAAGCAGGTGTCCGTGTATATGATCTTCGTCCGTCGCCTATCCGTCTCTCCTTCAACACTTCCCACGACCCTTGCGGGGCGGGCCCCCGCAGCCTGGCTCATATTTTTTTGATTTATTGTAGAGATAAGGTCTCACCAACTTGCCCAGGCTGGTCTCAAACCCCTGAGCTCAGTCTATCCCCTTGCCTCAGCCTCCGAAAGTGCTGGGATTACAGGCTTGAGCCCGGCCAAAAAATAAAAAATGTCATCTTATGTAAAAAAAATAAATAAATAATGTGAAGGAAGTATGCTAAAGAGAGTTCCGAGCAATCACATTTATAAATGAGTATATAAAATCCTGCGAAGAATATTGGCAATTATATCTGGTAGCACAGTTAATGAACAGCAAGATCCATTCAAAAATACTAAGATGTTTCAGTAAAATACAAATATGATTCAGATGTTAAAGGAAAAAAGGTATAATCTTCAGTTAATCTCAGTACATCATTTAAATTCCTTTGCTAATATAATGAGTTATATATTTGTTACATGGTAAAATATTAGCAATACCATTATTAGAGTCAAGACTCAGAAAAATTGAGCTCTCTCATCAGGAATAGTTTTATCTTTCTCTGGTCTATTAGAAAAATCTTATAAAAGGACTTGAAAAGGATTTTACTGCAAAGGAGACCTACAAAAAGTACCACAAAATCATGTACAAGTAAATCGCCCCAGGGCGTACCACGTGATTGACTTACACATTTGGAACAACATTTTGGGGAACCAAGACTCTTTTCAGAGCCATGTGCAGGTTTAGAGAAAGAGCTGTGAACATGTCTGGAAAACAACAGTGTTTCATTAAGTCACTTAATTTGATATCATGTTGCTTCAAAATGCTAATATCTGTTAGTATGCCATGGTTTTTTTTTTTGGAGTTGGAGTCTCACTCTATTGCCCAGGCTGGAGTGCAGTCATGGCTCACCACAGCTTCAACCTCCAGGGCTCAAGTCATCCTCCTGTTTCAGCTTCCCAAGTAGCTGGGACTACAGACATGCACCACCATGCCCAGCTTTTTATTTTTATTTTTGGAAACAGGGTCTTGCTATGTTGCCCAGGCTGGTCTTGAACTTGTGGCTTCAAGTGATCCTTTTGCCTTGGCCTCCCAAAGTGTTGGGATTACAGGCATAAACCACTCTGCCCAGCCCATACAAATATTTTACCAAAATTATTCTAGCATACTGGTCTCATACATGTTGCATTATGTGAGAAAGCATTTTAATATATCAAATCCATGAGCACAGTCATAATGTTTTTGCCAGTTTGCTCTTATAAATTTGAAAAGTAAATAGAAACATTAGTGAAAGAACATTTAAAATGTACTGTAATTTAGCTGAAAGTGTAGGGGTGATTGAGGTGAATCTGGTAAGTAGAGAGAAAGATAAGGCTTGATGTTGAAAGACTGGAGGAGGCAGTGAGTACATCTGATTATTAACCTGGTGGGCGAATGAGAGAACACAGAGGCTACATGGGAAAACATGCTCTAATTCTGTGTTTTACAAAAAAAGACTAAGGGAGATGGCTTTAACTGTTACTTATAATATACTACAAGCAAGAATCCATGAAAAACACTGTTACTAGAAGAAAAACATCACAAACTTTTAAAAAATTCATTTTAATACATAATGAAAACACAAACAAAAGCACAGATATATAGAAGTCAAAAATTTCAAGAAACTATACCCCTACTAGGATCTCTGCACTCTGAAATCTTTATTCCACCGCATTCAGATGTATTTGATTCTATTCTTTTCCAGTGCATAATCTTTCGTTTTTAAAAACCTAAACCTTAAGCCTGGTGGAGTGGCTCAAGCTTGTAATCCCAGCACTTTGGGAGGTCAAGGAGGGAGGATTGCTTGAGCCCAGAAGTTTGAGACCAGCGTGGGCAACATAACGAGACCTCATCTCTACAAAAAAATTAAAAAATTAGCTGAACATGGCAGCATGTGTCTATAGTTCTGGCTACTCGGGAGGCTGAGATGGAAGAATCCCCTGATCCCAGGAGGTCGAGGCTGCGGTGAGCCGTGATCCATAGGGTCCATATTGCTTTGGGTGGACATGATGCTTGACCAGATATTTTGTCATGTGCACTCCAGCCTGGGCGAAGTGAAACCCTGACTCAAAAACAAAAACAACACCTTAATAATCTGCAATTATGCATGACTCGGATGATGGGCGCATCCACTGAGAACAGCTCATGTCTCAGTCTTCACTGGTTCAGCCAAAGGACCTGTACCCTCTGAGCCACAGCTAGCCATTGGTCCAAGGTGTGGGGAGATGACCCTGCTAAACCAATAAGAGCCCTCCTGGGATGCTCCCTTTGGAGATTAAAGAGGAAATTGGTGTGGTTCTTTGCCTGTCATTTGTTTGTTTGATTATCTAACCCCTCACTCCCAATCATGGCAGTTTAAGGACATGAATCCAGTACTAGTAGCAGTGGACATATCTCCATATGTCATATTAAGAAGAACCTTGGTGTCTTCGTCCATTTGTGCTGCTGTAACAAAATACCTGAGACTGAGTAATTTATAAAGAAGAGAAATTTATTTCTCACAGTTCTAGAGTCCCCAGTAGGTGATAGTTTGGTCTCTGCTTCCAAGATGGCACCTTGTTGCTGTGTCCTCATTTGGCATAAAGTGGAAGGACAAAGTGGGCCTAGCTAGTTCCCTCTAGCCCTTCTATAAAGTCACTAATTCTATTCATGAGGGGAGAGTCCTCATGGCTTAATCACTTCCTAGGATCCCCACTCTTAATACTGAGGCATTGGGAATTAAGTTCCAACATTAATTTTGGAGTAGACACAAACATTCAAACCATAGCACATGGTGACTGATTAAGAAAAATAAGGCGACTCTCCCCTCCACACACTCACACCCACAAGCTATTTGAAAGTTGAGTTCTTTTCTTTTCTTTTTTTCACCTCCAAGCACTTATGCCTGAAAATAAAACCCACCATGTCAACTTAGCAAGATGAAATCCTAGCTCCCAGTGCAGTGGCCAATATAATGGGATCAGTTCTTATTCCTGGTCCCTCATCACCCTCCTCCTCTGTGATCTTGGCTTGTTACTCATGGATAAGAAGAGAATGAAGGTGGGATGGAGAGGAGGAAGCTTGAATAAGTGGCCATTTACTCTTTGTCCTTATTAAGAGGGACTTTAAAAACAAATCACAGGAGGGTTTTGCCCAGTCCCTGAGAAGGACATGAGTGGAGCATGAGTGCATCCAGATTCCTCTTCACTGGGTCATCAATCCAGTCCTTGTCATGCTACACTGTGCCCTTCAGAGGGTTGTGACAGACTGACACTACCCATCACAGCTTCTGCTGTTGCCATGAAATACTAAAACCTATCCATAATTTAACTGTCTCTGCTTCCAAGATCTTCCTACACAGAGGTAAGTGTGAACAACATCAACCTTTGGGGGTTGAAATTAGGTAGGGTCCATATTGCTTTGGGAGGACCTGATGCTTGACCAGATATTTTGTCATGTGCCACCAGAAATTTTGTTTTAATAATAAATAATATGTATAGTTATTGGGCTTATTAAAATAAATGAATAGTGAATTCTATCCCTCTTAGGAACTGAGAGTCCTTTCCCAGATGGGATCGTCCCAGAAAACTAAAGTACCTTACCCGCAGTCAGGTAGATTTTGGATTAGCTCTGACAACAGGACCCAGGATGATCTCCTGAATCTCACTTCATCAAACAGGGCATTCGCTTTTGAAGTGTTTGAGCCTATAGAAACTGCACTTCTCTGCATTAATCTGCTTGAAAAAAAACACATTAAAATAAAAGCTAATGCTGTGTTGATTTGCTTGATCTACTTCAATATCCATTTGTGTAATTAATTCAAATTAAAATGCATAAGCATGTTTTTCCCTTAATAAACTCCAACAGCTGGGAAATCCACCATTAGGGGCTGTTTCTGCTTTTCTCTCTCCTTGAATTCTTGTGTCCTCAAACCTGAACCCATTTTGATTCCACAGGGATGTGGTTTTGTGGGCAGGAGGAAGATAGAGGGATTACAATGAAAGTGTCATTTATACTATTTGCAGATTTATGCCATGTTGTTGTTTGTAGCTGTAGTTTGTTCATTGTCGTTGCTGTATTGTAACGCATTCTAGAACTGTAACACTATTCTTCTGTTGATAAACCTTTGATTGCTTTAAGTTTTTTACTTAATAATCAATCTTGTTCATGTCTTTTAGTGAATATTAAAAAAACTTATTTCTGTTAAATAATACCAAGAATGCAACTGCTGAGTCAGATCATACATGAATGCTTAGTCTTAGTAATACTGACAATTTTCCAAAGTGGTTTTACCAATTTATATTTCCACTCAGAGTGTGTATGTGGGTTCCAGTTACTCTATATTCTTGTCAACCCTTGATAATGTTAGTCTTTTGACTGTTATCCATGCTCCCATTTCACAGATGGGCAAACCACTGGGCCTAAAAGAAGTTAAATACTTTTAATATTTATTTATTTATTTATTTATTTATTTATTTATTTATTTATTTTTAGAGACTGATGCTCGCTCTGTAACCCAGGCTGGAGGGCAGTGGTACAATCATAGCTAACTACAGCCTCCAACTCCTGGGCTTCAGTCATCCTCCTGCTTCAACCTTCCAAGTACCTGTGTTTACAGGTGTGAACCATCATCCTCAGTTTAAATACTTTTCTAAAGTAAGTGCTAAATCTGAATTACAGACTCTTCCCACTATACCAGTCATCAACTTTTAGAATATAGGTGCTCAGCACTCAAGAATGGGTTGTTCCAAAATTTCATACAATCGTTGGAGTGAAAACTAGTGCAACCTCTGTGGAAAACAGTGTGGCAATTCCTAAAAGCTCTAAATATTGGCCTCCCATATGACCCCACAATCCCCCTACCGGGAATATACCCCAAAGAACTCAAATCACTCTATAAAAAAGATACCTGCACACGTATGTTTATCACAGCATTGTTCACAATAGCAAGAACCTGGAACCAACCAACCATGCTGTCCATCAAAAGAGGACTGGATTTTAAAAATGTGGTACATATACACAATGGAATACCATGCAGCCATAAAAAAGAACAAAATCATGAATTTCACAGCAACCTGGATGGAACTAGAGTCTATAATACTGAGTGATCTCTCACAGAAACAAAGATCTGAGTATCACATGTTCTCACTCATACAGTGGTCCTTGAACATCTATCGTAATACTATAAGAAAAGGATTGATAGTGGTGGGAAACTATGGGGGGCGAGAGGGGAAGGGAGGTGGGATTAACGGTAGTCAATATCTGTCTGGGGACAGGGAGACACCCCTTATCAACAAGGGTGCCTGAACGATGCATATTTGTATACTTAACCCTTAACTGTACCCCACAATTTTAAAATAAAAAATATTGATAAAAAATTATATCTATTTTGAGTTACCCCCAACAATGAACAGAATGATACCTGTACCCTGATATGCATCTATATTAATATTCACTTAACATCACATCTTAATAATAATAGTGGCGGCACTTGTTGAGACAAAGTTGTTCCCTTTGGTCTATGACATGGGCTGACAAAATTTTTCCCTAAAGGTTCAGATAGTAAATATTTTAGGCTTTGTGGAATATCTATTTATAATTTTCTTTACTATTGGTATTATTATATCTTTTATACAGATTGTTTTGGTTACTACTGCTGCATAATACATTACTGCTTAATTTAACGGCTTAAAACAATCACTTATTTTCAGGAAGTGTTTGGCTGTTAGGTTCTTATTTAGTTTCTTGTGAGGTTGAGGCCAGATGTCAGCTGAAAGTTGGACTGGGATGGAAATGCAAGAGGGTTTACGAACATGTGGCTGGCAGTTATTGTTGGCTGTTGGATTAGAATTCAACTGGAGCTATCAACCAAAGAGCATATATATGGCCTTTATGACACATTGGTCTTAGAGTAGGCAGAATTATTGCATGGTAGCTGCTTCTCCTGGAATGAGTGTTCCCAAAGTAATACAAAGTGATTTACACTGTACTCTACAGATCAAAATAGTCTCAGGTTCTCCAAGATTCAAGGGAAGAGACACTGTCCACTTTTATCAATGGGAAAAGTGGAAAAGTCACTTGTAGAATGGGATATATCACCTTTAAAAATTAAGGGCGGGCTCGGTGGCTCAGCGCGTAATCCCAGCACTCTGGGAGGCCTATGCGAGTGGATTGCCTGAGCCCGCGAGATCTCATGTCTACAATAAATAAAAAATTAGCCGGGTGTGGTAGTGCATGCCTGTTGTTCTGGTTACTTGTACGGCTGAGGCGGAAGGATAGTCGGAGCCCAGCAGGTCGAGACTACGGTGGCTGGGAGCATGTCACTGCACTCCAGTCTGGGTGACAGAGTGAGACTCCAACTCAAAAAATTAAAAAAAAATAAATAAACCTCCTCCTCAGGTGAAAAAAAAGAATGAAATTTACATTTAGATATTCATTGGAACATTGTTGTTAATAGTACAAGTATGGAACATTTCTGATGTTACTCAACAAGGAATTGATTAAATTTTGGTAACTCTAAAGAGTAGAATAATATGCAACCATTAAAATGTATAAGGTAGTTCTATACTGACATAAGAATGTGCTGAATATATATATATATAGAGAGAGAGAGAGAGGAATCAAGTAGCAGAACAGTATATATCATATAATTCTGCTGAATATTTAAATTATGTATATGAAATACGCATAGAACAACTTAGTAATATACAGCATACAACTCCACTCTCTACATTATATACATATTTGTGGTTTTCTGTAATTTTTATAATTTTCAAAATAGGAAACATTTAACTACATGTATCAAGAAATGTTAAAGCTTTCATAGCTTTTGATTCATCAATTCAATTTCTTAGGATAAACCCAGAAAAAATAATCAGATAAATGCACTATCATATAAGTACAAAAACATCCATAATAGAGAAAAATTATGCACCTTAATTCAATCTGTTGTATAGAAAGTCTATGTAATACTTCGAAATCATCAGTATTATGACAGATTTTATAACTGCTTTATTGATATATGATTCTCATACCACACCCGTTGGAGTGCATAATTTGATGACTTTTTAATATATTCACAGACGACTGGGCACGGTGGCTCAAGCCTATATTTCCAGCACTTTGCGAGGCCGAGGCGAGAGGATTGCCTGAGCCCACGGGTTCAAGACCAGCCTGGTTACATGGTCAGACCTCGTCTCTACAATAAATAAAAAAATTAGCTGGGCATGGGAGCGTGTGCCTGTAGTTCCGGTTACTTGGAAGGCTGAGGAGGAAGGATCGCCTCAGCCCAAACAGGTCAAGGTTGCAGTGGCCGGGAGCATGCCACTGCACACTGCACGCCTGGGTGACAGAGTGAGACTCCAATTCAATATATATATAAATATTCACAGAGTTGTGCAGCTATCATCACAATCAGTCTTATAACATTGTCATCACCCCAAAAAGAAATTTCATGCCCATTAGTAATCACTATCCATTTCTCTTCAATACCTCTTCCCCAGCCCTAGGCAATCACTAATCTACTTTCTGTCTATAGGGATATACCTATTTCAAACAACATTTCATATTAATGGAATTCTACTATATGTAATCATTTGTGACTGGTTTTTTCCACTTGGCACAATGTTTTATTCAAGGTTCATCCATGTTTTAGCTTGTATCAGAACTTTGTTCTATTTTTATTGCCATACAATATTCCATTGTGCGGATATATTTGTTCATTCAGTTGATGGACGCTTGAAATATTTCTACTTTCTAACTATTATGAATAATACTGCCAGGAATATACACATTCAAGTTTTTGTATGTACATGTGTTTCATTTTTCTTGCATACATACCCAGGAATGGAATTGTTGAGTCATATGGTAACTTTATGTTTAATATTTTGAGAAACTGTCAAACTATTTTCCACAGCAGTGCACTATTTGACATTCCCATCTGCAGTATGTGATGTTTCCAATTTATCTACATCTTTATCAACACCTATTATTATCTTTTTTTAATCATATCCATCCTAGTAGGTGTAAAGAGGTATCTCATTATGGTTTTGATTTGCATTTACCTGATGGCTAATGATGGTGAGTATGTGTTTATTGGCCATTTGTTTATTTTCTTTAGAGAAATATCTATTCAGATCCTTTGCCCATTTTAATATTGGGTTATTTGTCTTTTTATTATTTAGTTGTAAGTGTTTTTAATACATTACAAATATGTCCCATTTCAGGTATGACTTGCAAAAATTTTTTCCTTATTCATATTTCTTTTGTTGCTTGAGCTTTTTTTTTTTTTTTTTTTGAGTCGAAGTCTTACTCTGTCGTCCAGGCTGGAGTGCACTGGCATGATCACTGTGCTGGGTTCAGGCAATCCTTCTGCCTCAGCCTTCCAAGTAGCTGGAACTGCAGGTGCACGCTACCATGCTTGGCTAATTTTTTGATTTATTGTACAGTCGAGGTCTCACCAAGTTGTCCAGGCTGGTCTCAAACCTTTGGGCTCTTGCTTCCACCTCCCAAAGTGCTGGAATTACAAGCGTGAGCCACCATGCATGGCTAGTTTTATCTCTTATAATTAGAATTTTAATCTATTTTGAGTTTAGTAGATGGTGTGAGCTAGAGGTCCACATTTATTTTTTTGCATGTAGAGTTCTGTTTGTCTCGGTACCATTTGTTATAAAGACTGTTTCTTTCACCATTAAATTTTCTTGGTACTCTGGCTAAAAATCAACTGACTATGAATGTCAGGTTTATTTCTGTACTCTCAATTATATTCCGTTGATTTATAAATAATGTCCTTATACCAGTACCATACTATCTTGATTCCTATAGTTTTATAGTAAGTTTTGAAATCTGGAAGAGTGAGTCCTCCAAATTTGTCCTTCTTTTTAAAGATCATTTTATCTATTGTGGGTTTCCTGCATTTCTATATGGTTTTTGGAATCAGCAAGCCAGCTGATATTCTGAGAGAGATTACGATGAATCTGTAGATCATCTTGGGAATATCGCTCACCTTAATAATATTACATCTTGTGATCCTATGAACACAGGGCATCTTTCCATTTATTTAGCTATTCTTTTACTTCTTTCAACAATATGGTGTTGCTTTTGATGAACAAGTCTAGGACTTTTATTAAATTTATTTCTAAGTGTTATTCTTTTTCATGCTATTTCAAGTGGAATTGTTTTCTTACCTTCTTTGAATTGTTCGTTGCTAGTATATAAAAATACAATAAATTTTTGTACATCAATCTTATATTCTGCCATATTGCTAAACTCATTTACTAGTCCTCAGTTTTTTAGTGGATTCTTTGGGATTTTCTACATATAAGATCATACCATCTGCAAACCGAGATAGTTGTGCTTCTTTCCTTTTGATCTGGATGCCTTTAATTTATTTCTCTTGGCTACTCTGAAAAGATTTGAATGTATTTCAGAAAATAAAGCTCTTAATTTTTCCTCAAATGTTTAACTGATTATACAAATATAACTTCTGTAATAACCTGTTTTTTACCGCTGATCAGAAATTTTTTTATCACACACTAAAAACTCATATACTTAAGTGTGTTCATGGGTTCTCTTGTTTTATTTCTCTTACTGTGCTTACTCTAGTATCTTGATGGGTTAAGATTGTAGCTTTTTAAGTAATTCTGCTCCCTTGAAGTGTGATCAAGGATCAATGAAACAGACCAGATAAGATAAAGTGGCTATCACATGCTTGTGACTGTCCTTTGTGTCCCAACACACATAGTAGTGCCACCATCTATTGGGATGATGGACATTTAATAAATAATTATTTTTACTGTGTATTAAGTGCCCAATATATGAGGATTAATTATTTTTATAGACCAAACATCCAAAAATAGCCCAGAAGAACAGATGTACTAAGAAGATTATATAATTAAATCTGTACTGATGGACATTTGTGATGTTCCATTTTTTTAGTTATAAACTAAGCCAACACAATCACCTCTGTAGCCCCAGTAACAGTGAAAAATAAATGCTCAGTAAATAATTGCTGTGAGAATTTAAAAAAAATATATTTTAAGCATAAGATAATATTTTAGCACTATACTAATTATCCCTGTGGGTAAATATTAGAAGTGAAATTACTGGGTCAAGATCAAATGTTTTTATTTATTTATGTATATATAATATATATTATAAATATTTTGAGTTGAGGGTCTCACTGTCACCCAGGCTGGAGTGCAGCGGCAGGATCACGGCTCACCACAGCCTCCACGTCCTGGGCTCATTCTTCCACCTCAGCCTCCTGAGTAGCTGGGACTACAGGTGCACACCTGGCTAATTTTTTTAGAATTTTTGTAGAAACAAGGTCTTGATGTGTTGCCTAGGGTGATCTCAAACTTCTGGGTCAAGCAATTCTCCCACCTCAGCCTCCCAGAGTGCTAGGATTACAGGCACAAAGCACCATGCCTGGTTAGCCACCATGCCTGGCCTTATTTTTAAACAATTTACTAAGTTGATTTTCAGATAATTTTTACCAAGATAGTCAACAAGAGCAAAGGAGAGTGTATATGTCCCCAATCAGTCAACAGATCTGTTACAAATTTTCATATAATCAAATCACTTAATGTTTTCCTTAGTTGTTCATCTCTTTATTATATACAGTCATGCACCAAATAATGATATAATAAGATGGTGGTTAGAGCAATAGGTTAAATCATATAGGGTAGGTGTGTAGTAGGCTGAGCCATCTAAGTTTGCATAAGTACACTCTATGTTTGCACAAAAACGAAATCTTCTGATGCATTTCTCAGAACTATCTCCTTATTAACTTATGTTTGATTGTATTTAAAGGACTTCACACCAAAAGGTTAAGTGAAGATAAACAGAGACTACTCATAAGAGAAAAAAATGGAGGCTACTTATTCACAGTTTGTTATTGTAAGGAAGTCAGCCACCATAATTTGATTTTGGCAGAAATTTCAAGGCAGGCAGGGGTAGTGTGAAAGTTTTATAAGTGAAAAACAAAACAAAAAACATAAGACTTCAGGTTTGCTTTGATTGAAGGTTGTTGGCATGAAGAAGCTGCCAGAAGGCCACCTAGAAGCTAGGCATCCGATGTGATTGGTTAGGGGTACATATTTGGCTTTTTGTTGTTGTTGGTAATGGGCATAATAATAATAATAGCTCACGCCTATAATCCCAGCACTGTGGGAGGCTGAGGCAGAAGGATTGCATGAGTCCAGGAGTTTGAGATCAGCCTGGGCAAAAAAGTGAGACCTCCTCTCTACAAAAAACAAAACAAAACAAAAAATTAGCCTGATGTGGTAGTGCACACTTGTAGTCCCAGCTACTCAGGAGGCTGAGGTGAAGAATTGACTGAGCCCAGGAAGTGGAGGCTGTAGTGAGCTGTGGTCAAGCCCAACTGCATTCCAGCCTAGGTGACAGGGGGGAAGATTAAAATTAAAAAATAAAGAAGGCTAGCAAGTTGATCAAGTCCTGAAGATTTCTGCAGAGACTGTGGTTTATCTTCCTGGGGTGCTTGCTGCAAAGGTTGTGGGTCACAGTTCTACTGTCATATGTGGTCTGGTCCCTGTCCCTTGTATATTCAGATTCTCACTTAAGAGAAATTATTATTCTCTTTTTTGCTTAAAATATAATTTCATTTTTGTATTTATTAGAAAATGTATGTTTCTGCATTTCAGGAACAAAAGGCATTATCTTTTCTTTTGAAAACTTTTCTAAAGTGCAATATTCTACTACTCTTCATACGTAAGTTCACATTTATACAATTTTACTGGGTAGGTCTACGTTTTTTCAATGGAATTTAAGAGCAACATTATCAAGACTCCTCTCCCAGACCGCCCAAATCATATTTTTAAAAAAGAGTTTGTGATTTTTATTAAAATTCTTTTTTTGACCACTTCTCAGCAAGAGGAAAAAGACAAAAGAGCCCAGGGAGGTGCGGAGATACCTGCTCTAGGGAGGTGGCTATGGCTGGCAGTTGCGGGCGAGGAGGCGGGGCGCGGGGGTGGCGGAGCTCCGGTGCGTTCACGTGACCTACGTGGCGCAGATGTGGGCACCAGTCCGGGTTCCTGCCCTCTGTCCTTGCGGTCGGACCGATCTGCTGCGGTCCCTGAGCTCCTAATTGTTGTTCTAGCTTCTTTCAGGTCAGTGAGAGTGCCTTCCACGCTGCTAGCGAAACACTGGAATGGGGGAGGGGGCGGGGCGGCCAGGGAAAGGCTGGCAGTGGTCGGGTCCAGGGAAGCTGGCCTGAGTGTACACAGAGATGGCGGTGGGAAACGGTGAAGGGTGGCTGACGGCGAGCAAGCAGCCAGTGGACAGAGGGTGGGGAAGGCGGACACCCCAAGTATCCATGCCCGCTTTCTCTGCCATTCGTCCATTTTGGAGCCAGAGATGGTGGGCTTGGGGGACGCCCCAGCAGTGAGACAGTGGAAATACGCCCCCGCTACCATTCTGTGCATGGAAAAAAATGTTGACCGCAAGGGTCGGAGGCGAGTTGCCTCCAGGAAAAGAGGACTCAGAGATCCAAAATTAGTTTGGAAAGCACAGTGGTCTGGCCCCTGAGGCCTGGAAAGAAATGGCGGCTGGGGTGCAGGGGAGGTCCGGGAGGAAAATGCTGGGGGAAGAGGGCCCCAAGACAGGAAAGGGACCTGAGTCCCTGGGAGTCCACTGAGCGCGCAGCTCCTGCCCCTTCTGTCTGTCCACAGGTCTGCGTGTCTGTTGTTCCCAGCACTCTGCGAGGCCTGGAAAGCAGGAGCAACCAGAATTCCCGCAGGTCCGTTAAAGGGGCGGGGGGTGGGGTGGGGGGCTGCATGGACAGGTTCCCAGTAGGGTTGAGAGTGTGGTGGACAGAATTTGGGGCCCCACTTGCCCATTCCCCCGCCATATGCACACAGACCTTGCCAGGCTGGAGGATGTAGAGAAGGTGGCAGGCCTGCCAAGGAATAGTTGACTCAGGCGTGTGGGAGGAGTGGTGGGCTACGCGGTGGGCTATATGGTGGGCAGAAGGCACACTGAGGGGCCCGGCTAGGTTGGGGGAAATCTGACCAGGGGCAAGATGCAAGTACTGTCCGGACCTATATTCCACCCCAGGCCCTCAGTCTGCCATGTCTCCTCTTTGTCTCCTTTTTCCTTCCCCTCACCCCCACCCCAAACCCCCACGCCAGGACAGGAAAAGGAGGGGGAAATCTCAACATGGAAAAACTCTACAATGAAAATGAAGGAATGCCTTCCAACCAAGGAAAGATGGAAAATGAAGAACAGCCACAGGATGAGGGAAAGTCAGAAGTAGCTTGTACTCTGGAAGAAAAGGAGAAGTTAGAAAAGGAGGGAAAGACAGAAGATGAGGAAATGTTAAAGGATAAGGAAAAGCTAGAGAGTGAGGGAAAGACAAAAGAAGAAGGAAAGCCAGAAAGTGAGGGAAAGCCAGAGAGAGAGGGAGAGCCAAAAGAGGAAGAAAAGCCAGAGAGTGAAGCAAGGGCTTCAGGAAAGCGCCCAGCTGAGGATGATGTACCCAGGAAAGCCAAAAGAAAAACCAACAAGGGACTGGCTCATTACATCAAGGAATATAAAGAGGCCATACACGATATGAATTTCAGCAATGAGGACATGATAAGAGAATTTGACAATATGGCTAAGGTGGAGGATGACAAGAGAAAAAGCAAACAGAAGTTGGGGGCGTTTTTGTGGATGCAAAGGAATTTACAGGACCCCTTCTACCCCAGAGGCCCAAGGGAATTCAGGGGTGGCTGCCGGGCCCCACGAAGGGACATTGAAGACATTCCTTATGTGTAGTGTCCCTGGCAAGCATTTTCCAGGTCCTGGGCTTTAACCTTATGTTAATACTTTGCTTAGGCATCCCTCCTCTTACTAGCAGCCTTTTGACCCAACTCCAGTGCTCTACTTTCAGTAGCAGATTTTCATCCAGTGCATGAAAAAAATGTTTATGGTACATTGCAAAATTAAAAAACATAACTGGCAGAACCAACTATATGGCATCAGTATATTTTTGTAAAAGTACAAAGTTACTTACCTAGTAACCTATGTATAGAAAACAACTCTGAAAGATGTGTCCACTAAAAGATTAACAGTGGTTTTTGTTCATCTGTTCATTTTCTTTTAAAAACACATATTACTTAAGTCATAAAAATAATGAAAGATAAAATATTGGAAAACAATGCATAAGTAATCCACAGAACCATCCAGTGAGTTTATAAAGGCAGTGGAGACACTTTAAATTCTTGCTGTCAGGATGTAAAATGATAGGTAAAACTCCCATTACCTCTGCGTCTCAAAGCTGGAGGAATCAACCTGACAGTTACTACAGATCCATTGCTGTAAGGGACAGCCTGTCATCTGTAAAATGAGGATAAAACTTGCCTTCCAGGGCTGTGGAGAAGATCAAAGGAGGCACTGAGTGTGTGAGCTGTGTTGGGCTGCCTCCTATCCTCTCCCCCTGCACTAGCAGATTTTGGGGAAAGACTGGGGTCTCACCTTTGCCCAGAAATAAGTCCAGATAGCTGAGGTGGGTGCCACTCTCCCTGGGTAATGCCTTGTCTGTTGGGTACTGTGCCTCTTTTCATGGATCCTGTACCTCCTAAAGGCCTCCACTACTGTCAGTGGGCAGGAGACTATGGTAGACTAAAACAACACTGTGTCCCAACAGAAGAGTAGAGAATTTCCTCTCTACCTACAATAAATAGTTACCTTAATCCAGACGGGTAGGACATAGTCATCACTTGAGTCTTGATATTTTGTAAAGTTCTTATAAAACACTCCATGTTTTTTTGTTGATTTGTGTGTGTTTTTCCATATAGCCATTTCCACCAGATTTAGATACTGGAGATTGAGCCAGAAGAAAAAACTAAGTGACCAGATGCTATGCTATTCTCAATTGTTAATCTCCTGTCTGCTGACACTTTTTTCTTAGGAATTGTCTCCCAGGAAAGCCCTGCCTTACCATTTCAACAGACCCATCTACTTATGTGATTTTCTCCCCCCTCTGGCTCTTCAGTAGCTTTTTATTTGCTTACAGTATTTTTAATAACCTTTTATTTTAGGACAGTTGTAGATTTACAGAAATATTGCAAAGATAGTACAGAGTACCCCATATACAGTATCCACTATTATTAACATCTTATATTAATATGGTGCATTTGTCACAATGAACCAGTTTTGACAATTAACTAACGTACATACTTTATTCATATTTCCCCTAATGTCTGTTTTCTGTCCCAGGATCCTATCCAAGTTATCACATTACATTTAGTTGTTATGTCTCTGTAGGCTTCCCTTGGCCATGAGAATTTGTCTGACTTTCCATGTTTGTGATAACCTTGACACTTATGAGAAATACTGCTCAGGTATTTTGTATAATGTCCCAAAATTTGGGTTTGCTTGATTTTTGCTTTGTGGTTTCACGTGTGTTCTGTGTTTTGGGAAAGAAGACCACAGAGGTAAAATGCCATTCTCATGGCATATAAAGGGTACATAGCACTGTTGATGTTAACCTTGGTCACTTGACTGAAGTAGTGTTTCTCCATGGTAAAGTCACTCTTTTATGTCTCCCTTTCCATACTGTACTCTTTGGAATAAAGTAATTGTTTGCAGCCCACACTTAAGGAATGGGGTATTATCATTTCCTTGATGGCAGAGTATCTACTAAATTTACTTGGAATTCTTTTGCAAAGGGTATTTGATTCTTCTCCATTTATTTATATATTCAATTTATTTAGATCAGTACAGACTCATGAATATTTATTTTATGCTTTGGATTATAGTGCAGTACTACTTTGCATATTTTCTTGCTCAAATTGTTTCAGCTTTGCCCATTGAGAGCTTCCAGTTGGCTCCTATATTCATTTGACTTACCTCCATTGTTGTGTTGTGGGTTTTTTTTTTTAATTACTTTCTTACTTTCTGGCAAGACAAGATGTTCTAGCCTTCTCTTGCATATTTCATGCCTAAGTCCTAGAACCAGCCATTTCTCCAAGTAGCCCAGGTATCTTATGTTGGAAAATGGTATTAAAAAACCAAGATCTGGGTGCTAGGCATACTCATTGCTATTGGGATATCATTGCTTCTAGGCCCTCTCAGTTGACAGAGCAAGGAGATATATGAATATAAAATAAGCCATATATATAAAGAAAATATTCACATGAATATAAAAATTTCTTTCTTTTTTTTTTTTGAATCAGAGTCTTACTCTATTGCCCAGGCTGGAGTGCAGTGGCATGCTTACGGCCACCACAGCCTTGACCTGCTGGGCTCAGGCGATCCTTCCGCCTCAGCCTTCCAAGTAGCTGGAACCACAGGCATGTGCCACCATGCCTGACTAATTTTTTTATTTATTGTAGAGATGAGTTTTTGCTATGTAGCTCAGGCTGGTCTCGAACCCCTGAGCTCAGGCAATCCTCTCACCTCTGCCTTCCAAAGTGCTGGGATGACAGCTTGAACCACTGTGTACGGCAATATAAATATTTCTATATGTAATCACCTGTATCTATATAAAACTAAATATGATTTTATACTGGTATCTCTAACTGATCTGTTACCATATGGATCATTCTAGCCTCCCCTTGCTTATCTGTAACCTTTCACTTCAACTGTAAGAAACTTGTTTCCCACTGTCCACCATCCATTTTGTTAACTGTTCAATTCTAGTACACATGTATAGTTTCAAAATTGTTAACCTGTACCTGTACCCCTGAGGAAAACGTTATCAACTAGAGTAGAGTGCTATGTACAGTTCCTTTTGCCTTTAGCCTTACCCACTCTGTTCATTTCCAAATTTACCTATGTCAGCACCTTATTCTTCCATCATTTTATTCCCTCCTCCCTTTCAGTGAGGTTGTTTCATACATTTGTAATACATTTAAATTCTTTTGTCACATTCTGCATTTTGGAAGTGCTATTGTAAATGACATTTTTAAATTTCAAATTCTATTTGTTCATTGCTGGTATACAGGAAAACAATTTACTTTTGTATATTAATGTTGTATCTTGAGACTTTGCAACCAGAAGTTTGTCAGTTCTTTGGCAATCATGTTCTTGAAGATAGAGATAGTTTATTACCTTCTTTCCAATCGTATGTTTTATTTCCTTTTTTTTCTGGTCTTACTGTACTAGCTAGGACTTCCAGTATTATGTTTAATAGGAGTGATGAGAAAGGACATCTTTGCCTTGTTCCCGATCTTAAGGTGAAAAGTGTCCATTTTCTCATCATTAAGTATGATATTAACTGTAGACTTTTAGAGATGTTCTTTATCAAACTGAGGAACTTCCCCTTTAATTCTGGTTTGTTGAGTGCTTTTATCATGAATGGATATTGGATGTCAAATGATTTTTCTCCATCAAGTGATTTGGTCACACAGTTTTTCTTGTTTTAGTCTGTTAATGTGGTGGGTTATATTGATTAATTTTCAAGTGTTGAACCAGCCTTGCATAATTTTTTTTTTTTTTTTTTTGAGTAGGAGTCTCACTCTGTCGCCCAGACTGGAGTGCAGTGGCTGCTCCCGGCCACCACAGCCTCGGCCTGCTGGGCTCTGGCGATCCTCCCGCCTCAGCCTTCTGAGTAGCCGGAATTACAGGCGTGCGCTACCACGCCCGGCTGGTTTTTGGATGTATTGTAGAGATGAGGTCTTGCTGCCCAGGCGGGTCTCGAACCCGCGGGCTCAGGCAATCCACTCACCTCAGCCTCCCAAAGGCGCGGGATTACAGGCTGAGCCACCGAGCCCGGCTTGCATAATTTTTTAATATGTTGTTGGATTTGTTTCACTATTTTGATGAGGATTTTTACATCTGTGTTCAAAAGAGTTACTGGTCTGTATGATTTTTCTTTTCTTTCTTGTAATGTCTTTGTCCAGTTTTGGAATTAGGATAATGCTGGCCTCACAGGTTGGCTTGGAGTTGTTTCTCTGCTTCTGTTTTATGAAAGAGATGGCGGAGAATTGGTATTATTTCTTTTTTATATGTTTGATAGAATTCACTGGTGAAGCCTTACAGTCCTGGCAACTTCCATCTTTGGAAGGTTATTAATTATTGATTCAATGTATTTAATAGATACAAGGTTACTCAGCTTATTTATTTTTCTTTATGTGAGTTTTGGTAATCTGTGCCTTTCAAGGAACCGGTCCATTTCATCTATGCTAACAAATTTGTAAACATAGTGTTGTTTATAGTATTTATTACCTTCTTAATATCCATGGGGTCAGTAGTAGTGATAACCCCACTTTCATTTCTGATTTGGGTCTTTTTTTTTTGGTTAGCCTGGCAAGTAACCTATCAATTTTATTTACCCATTTAAAGAACTAGCTTTTGATTTCATTGATTTAGTCTATTATTTTCCTGTTTTCGGTTTCATTGATTTCGTCTCCAATTTTTAATATGTCTTTTCTTCTGTTTGCTCTAGGCTTAAATTACTCTTCTTATTCTTCTTCCTTTAGTTTTCTAAGGGGAACATTTAGGTTATTCATTTTAGATTTTTCTTCTTTTTTCATATATGCATTTAAGTTAGAAATTTCTCCCTAAGCACTGCTTTTGCTACATCTGACAAATATATCCTATTTTATTATTTATTTCAAAATATTTTTACATTTCTCTTGAGGATTCTTTGAGTTGTTTTTTGGAAGTATGTTTAATTCCTAAATATTTGGGTTTTCCATCTACCTTTTTGCTATTGATTTCTAGTTTAATTCCATTGAGAGCATACTTATGATTTCTACTCTTTTTAATTTGTCATGATGTGTTTTATGGCCCAGAATATGTTCTCTCTTGGTGAATGTCTTATGTGAACTTGAAAAAAAAATGTGGTGTTCTGCTGTTGGATAGAGTGTTCTATAAATTAGTTTAAGTGTCAGCTCAAGTTAGTTGACAGTGCCTTTCAGATCAACTGTATCCTTATTGATTTTCTGCCTGCTATATCAATTACTGACAGGTGGTGGGGGGTGTTGAAGTCTGCAACTCTAGTAGTGGATTTGTTTATTTCTCCTTTCAGTTCTACTAGTTTTTGTCTCCCAAATTTTGACACACTGTTGTTAAGTGTATATGTAATCAGGATTATGATGTGTTGTTGGAGAGTTGTTCCCTTATTATGTAAATGCCCCTTTTAATCCCTGGTAATTTTCCATGTTTTGAAGTCTACTCTGTCTGAAATTATATAGCTACTCCAACTTGCTTT